GGAAACAGAAACGGAAATACATACCCAAATGATAAGACGCGATCGTTACCAGGGCTGTTCGAATTGTACCCGTCAAAAACCACCAGCACCCGCACATCTGCACAGTTTGGGATGTGGAGGAGGAGAGAGGGTGGCTTGAAAGTATGTCAGATTTGAGTTCACTCGAATAATTGTTAGATTTTTTTCTGCCCATCAAAGACCGCCAGCATCCACAAATCTGCACGGGTTAGACTGCGAATGAGGAAGGATGATTCAGAAGTCAGTGGACTCTGAGTCTGCTCAAAGGTCACACAAGTGCTGGAGATTTATGCCCCTAAGTGAGGTGTATTTTGAGGCGCCTCAAAATACACCTCAAGGTCACAGAAGTGCTGGAGATTTATGCCTTTAGTGAGGTGTATTTTGAGGCGCCTCAAAGTACACCTCAAGGTCACAGAAGTGCTGGAGATTTATGCCCTTAAGTGAGGTGTATTTTGAGGCGCCTCAAAATACACCTCAAGGTCACAGAAGTGCTGGAGATTTATGCCCTCAGAAATCTTTTGATGCGCCTCAAAGGTCACAGAAGTGCTGGAGATTTATGCCCTGAGATTTATGCCCTGAGTCTACCAGCGTATCGGGGGTATGGCAACACTTCCAGCAGCAGCCTCTCTCTCGCCTCCTCTGAGTCGCCTCGCAGAAACAGTAGTTGTTCAAGCGCCTCAGATATAAATCCCTAACAACATCCACCCACAACAGGACCTAACAGCATATCGGGGGTGCGGTAGCACTTCCAGCAGCAGCCTCTCCCATGCCTACCTACAAGCGTACCACCTACCCCAAGCAACACCGAGCCCTGGCAACACCACCAGCACCCACCAGCGTATCGGGGGTAGGGCAGCACTTCCAGCAGCAGCCTCTCTCTCGCCTCCTCTGTATTGCCTCGCAGAAACAGCTTCTTCAGCTTGGGCCAGCTGCCCACCACGTTGTACCCGTCCACCAATACCAGAGGCAAGGCGTCTGTAGAGCTGGGGGGCCAAGGGAAAATGTGCGGGCCAACACGAGGAGGTACAAGGGGTGAAACGGCTTCTTCAGCTTGGGCCAGCTGCCCACCACATTGCATCCGTCCACTAGTACTAACGGTAGCACGTCTGTGGAACTGGGGAGACAAGGGAATATACACAGGGCAGTGTGCTGTGAGGTAGGAGGGATGAAACGGCTTCTTCAGCTTGGGCCAGCTGCCCACCACATTGTAGCCTACCAATTGCATTGACGGTAGCGCATCCCTGGAGCTGGCCAGAGGAGGACGAAATAGCGGGGAGGGGGAGGACGGAATAGTGGGGAGGGGGAGGACGGAATAGTGGGGAGGGGGAGGACGGAATAGTGGGGAGGGGGAGGACGGAATATGGGGGGGGTGGGGACGGAATAGGGTGGAGGTGGAGGGAAGTCGCGAAGCGAGGCCTGGGACTGCCCTTAAGCTTGGCCCAGCGGTCAGTGTCCACCACGTTATGGCAATCCACCAGCGGCAGCTGAGGCATGGCGTCTGTGGAGCTGGAAAAAGGTGAAACGGGTGTGTGAGTGGGAGGAGGGGTGGACGGCATGACATGGCCTGGCACGGGCCTTCAGCTTGGGCCCAGCTGTTGTGCGCAGTGCCCACCACGTTGTGGCAACCCACCAGCAGCAGCAGAACCAGAGGCAACGCGTGTGGGGGGCCGAGACGGGGAAGGAGCCGCCCCAGATGGAGGCCTAAGGGGGTATGATTCAGCTTTTAAGTCGACTAACAAAACGGCATGAGAGGGTACAAACCAGCTTTTTCAGGGTTGCTAAGAAACAGCTGCCAAGCGCGTTGTAACCCTGTAACAAAAAAGATGGTTACGCCTCCCACATATGACTCAGCTCTGACGGCGTCTCGTCTGTAGGACAGGCATGCTAGCAGCTTCGCCAGTTTCTAATACTTCTTTCCAGGGACCGCAGACTATTACTACCTACCTGGCGCGCAGCTGAAACTAAAAGCGAATATAAAAACTATGTCAGTCCATCCCCATGTCCAGAAACTTTCACAATTATGCTCTCTCCCCCCCCCGGACGCTCTCACTCACATGCTTTCAAAATCAGAGTATTCTCCCCTGATATCGTAAAAATCAACCGGGTGTGCAGATGCGGAAGCCAGCTCAGCAACCCCACTCCCTGCTACTGCTCGTCTCTCCGACTTTGGCAGTTTCTTCCGCCTGAACCTGCTTGGAACCTTCTCGTCCCCATCCTTGCGCTCCGCTGCAAAGGCCTGGAAGAATTAGGGGTATGCAGATGCACCCAGATCCCAATGGCATGGGTGGGAAGGAGAGGGGGGAGGGGAAGGGGGGACTTTGCTTCGCAACGAGGGGTAATTTCTTCATCGTTTCTTACCCCCTTACACAGTGGTAATTTCAACCCAATTTGGGGTGAATGTACGAACCTCCAAGAATCCCGCTGTATGAATGCTCGATTGACCAGATTCCCATCCGCATCACCTCAATCTGACTGGGACAACTATATAATCGGGTCTTTTCTTTGGGGACGCACCTTCCAGAATTTCTCGGTCCGTTTGCTTGCTCGAAGTATGTCTTCGTCTTCATCGCTTCCATAATACTTTGTCGAATATTCTTCCACAAGCGGATCCCCACTACTAGTGCTTTCTTTCTCTGTTGTCTGGCGTGAAGCCACGCGCGAATTTACCTGACAGAAAGGAAAAGGATAACCAGGAGTGAATTAAGAATCTACAGAAGAGTCTACAACATTGAATCGCAGGTGGTAGCATAAAGAACAGAAGGAGCTGACTATAAAACACGGGTGGAGATGGCCATACCTGAGCCACGGGCTCTCTGTTGACAGGGGTCACACCCTTGAGAACAGAAAACGGTGAATTCACCGCGCTATTCTTCTCTGTACCATCGGTTCTTCCGTTACTCGTGCTCATCGTAGATTCGCCTCCAAGTTGAGAGCTGTGATGCCTCTGTGAGTTGTTCTTCTGCTTCCGCGGACCCGCTCGGACTTGAAAACTATGACCATTAGAGAGTGGTGGTCCGTGACAATGACTCTTATGCACGAATCGGACGTCCTTCAAACGAAGGAAATCCTGCCTACCATGCAGCTCGGACAGGGCCTTGAGACCCATAAGTGAGTGTGGACTGTGTTACCCTACTGCTAAGGTAACTTCAGCTGCTTCTACTTCAATATCTTCTGTTCTATTTGTTAGCAATCGCTGAGGAAGCAAGCTACAGATTCGCAGTCAGAGTTCAGGTATCAACAGGATTTCTAGATTGGTGATCGCTGGCGAGAAAGAGCGGACAGAGATCAAGTAGGACTAGGCATTAGAAGAAGGATTAGATAGTCACACGTCAGTTAGGCCGTTGTCAGAAGATTCGTAGTTCACAAGGCCACAGCTGACAGCGGTCAAAGCAGGGTCGGATGAAACGATGTGCATACGGACTACTGAAGCCGTTAAAGCCCAAGACCCGAATTACCAAAAACGAAGGCAAACTGTGCACAGTTTGCCTCCCGCAGCCCACAGTTTTGCCCCGCGTTGACTTGCGTTGAGCAATTCAGGTCTTGGGCTTTAAAGTATTGTTGTCTTTCAAGCGTCGCCTGCCATTTCACATGGAGTGAGCAACAGAGGCTGCTGCTCACTTTCACTCAATACCGTACTCAAAAGTGTGTAAACTATACATTACCGTATTGCAGCGCGAAGCATCTTGCTGAAATTGCTCGGTTCAATGACAGACAAGGCCGCCGCCAGTGTGGTGTGGTGCTGCTGTATCTGTTGCTTCTAGCGAACCCTGCAGCTCAGGCTGACTGGCGGGAGAATCAATCTCCGACCTTGGAGCTCATCAACGACTGGTGGAGCATTGAAACCTCCACCTCCGATTTGCGAATGCGGCCAATGCATCGAGAGCAACATCGAGGTGATGTTGACACGGACAGGTCGCTGATTGGATCACGTGGCGAGGCTTGAAACCACCAGATGCATATACTCTATACTAGTAGATCCATGTTCTAGTAAATGGACGCTGTTCTTTCCGACGATAAACTAGTGTTGAACGGATAGTACGGAAAATCAGCTGGTTGCTTCATGAAGGCTTGTGACAAGATTCATACAAAAACTGAAGTGGCGAACGCTGACGTGGTTCAGTACGCCTGATGTAAATCCGTCGGTGCTCACCGGTTGGCTGGGATCCATGGCACTAAGGGCGAAGTCAGGTTATACAATTCTCATGCGTGTACAGTTCTTGTTCTGTTGTTCAGGATGGTCCAGCACGGTGACCCTTCAACCCCAGCAAGGCACCGCATTCGTTGATTCGACCCATTCTTGGAATCTGATGGCTCTTAACGGACGCTATGCCAAATCCCGTGTACGAGCCATAGTTGGATTTGTTCAAATATCGAGACCGTCTTTCGATTCTGAAGTTTAGATTTTCGTAAACAAGGCCTTGAATTTCCTGTCAGCTGGTTAGGGCTTACTGTAGATAGAAATTCGCTCAATTTTAGGATTTCCTCTGCAGAAAGTGCCGCCCTACCCAAGTAGAACAAGACGCGTACATGCGATATGTGGCGTATCTAGAAATTTCCAAAGCCGTGGTAGCTGATCCGCTAACATAATTCCTGAAATTTCGATTTAGGGTTAAACGTATTTCCGCGGCACGAGCGGTATTGCTGCCACGAAAGGCGACTCGCAATACTCGTAGCAACGCGGCCCGTAGCTTCGACTTCGATTATCGCGGCTGATCGAACGTTGGAAAAAATCTAATCGCCTTTAGATGGTTTTCAACGCTACACAGTACTTGCTATGAGAGCACGTATAGAAGCTTGAGCTCTCTCTAGCGGCGGCCGCTGTGAGTTGACCGTTAAACACGGAGGCACGGCGGCAGCGTTGGCAACCTCCGCAGCCCTGTCCCCTTCGACGTCCTGAAGTTACCGCTGCGGCCACTGTAAATTTACCGTGAATCGTCGCGCCGCTCTGAGTTAATCGTAACGCGCGGAGGAGCGGCGGCGCCATGGAAGCTATTTCGTCATGTCATCGATGCGGCCGATTAGGTCATCTGTCCAGGGACTGTAACATCAAGACGTGCTTCAAATGCAACGGGTACGTTCCTCTCTCTTTCTCATCCCCTCTCTTATTCCCTCGCTTGTTCCCTCTCTCCTCGTCCCTTCTCTCATCCAGTTTCTCATCCCCTCTTCTTCTCCCTCTCTCTCATCCCTCTTCCTCATCCTTCTCTCATACCCGTACTCATTCCCCCTCTTTCATCCCCAAACACATTCTCCCTCTCGTCCCCTTTCCCGCATACCCTCTCTCTCCCTCCCTCATTCAAACGGTCCGTTGTATTGATTCAGCAGAGCCTCATTCCCTCTCACATCCCCTTTTCCGCATTCCATCTCTCCCCCCTCCCTCATTCCCTCTTCCATCCCCTTACCCGCTCATCCCTGAATTCGCACGCCTCCCTTTTTCCAACGACTTCCTCTCACCTCATCCCTCTCTGCTGCACCCTTTTCTCCATCCTCTTCCTCTCCCCTCATCCCTCTCTGCTGCACCCTTTTCTCCATCCTCTTCCTCTCACCCCATCCCTCTCTGCTGCACCCTTTGTTCATCGCTTTCTTGTTCTGCACGTCTCATCGTTCACATGGGGGGGAGGAGGGAGTAGCCGCGGGCACATGGCGTGTGAATGCACAAGTTTTAAGACCATTTTCCTAGATTTACAAGCAAGAAACCATCCACCTTCGCTGTCTCTCTTCCTTCCCTCCGTGCTCCATCCGTTTCTCTGTGCGCAATTCAGCGTGCACTGATGGGTGGGGGCGAAGGGAGTAGGGGGGGGCACATGGCATCGGAACGCACAAGTTCTCCCTCTCACTCATCCCTCTCCCTTCAAGCAATGAATCAACCTCTCCCTCTCACTCATCCCTCTCTGCTGCACCCCTTTCTTATTGCGCTCTCCTGTTGCGCACATCTCCTCGTGCACGTGGTGGGTGGGGGGAGTAGCCGTGGGCACATGGCGTGGGAATGCACAGCAGGCGTCACCTGCAGCATCTGCGGGCAGACGGGCCATCTGCAGCGCAACTGTCGCAACGTCTCCTGCCACAAGTACGTGCAGCAGAATTCCCTCGGTTCAGGGTTCGGGTTTAGGGTACTGATAATTAAGGCACGTGCAGCGCCTGCAGCATCTGCGGGCAGACGGGCCATCTGCAGCGCAACTGCCGCAACGTCTCCTGCCACAAGTACGTGCAGCAGGATTCCCTTGGTTCAGGGTTAGGGTTTAGGGTACTGATAAATAAGGCACGTGCAGCGCCTGCAGCATCTGTGGCCAGACGGGTCATCTGCAGCGCAACCGCCGCAACGTCTCCTGCCACAAGTACATGCAGAATCCCCTGGGTCATGCCGCAACGTCTCATGCCACAGGTACGTGCAGCAGTATCCCCTCGGTCGAGGGTCAGGGTTTAGGGTACTGATAATAAAGGCACGTGCAGCATCTGCAGCACTTGCAGCATCTGTGGCCAGAGGGTCATCTCTAGCACAACTTGCCGCAACGGCTCATGCCACAAGTCGGTGCAGTATTCCCTGGGTTCAGGGTTAGGGTTTAGGTTTTAAGCTGGTAAATGAAGCACCTGCAGCATCTGCGGCCGTACGGGTCATGCCGCAACGTCTCATGCCACAAGTACGTGCAGCAGTATGCCCTCAGTTTAGGGTTAGGGTTTAGGTTTAGCTGGTAAGTAAGGCATGTGCAGCGTCTGCAGCACTTGCAGCATCTGTGGCCAGACGGGTCATCTGCAACGCAACTGGTAGCGCAATGTCCAGACATGTGCCGCAAGTACGTCTCCCCCGCCCTTCTTGACTCAGATGGCACGTGCAGCATTTGTCGCAAGGGCCATATCTCCAGATTCTGCAACGAACCCATTTGCCAGAATGGTCCGATCATGCACCAAACAATTATCCCCCGCCCCCACCCCTGCTGCCGCCCCTATTCCCCTTTGTCCACCTCCCCTACATCCCTTTGTCCACCTCCCCTACACCCCTTTGTCCACCTCCCCTTGTCACTACCATGATGACAGGTGCGGTCGCAAGGGCCATATTTCCAAATTCTGCAATGATCCATTTGCCAGGGTAAGACAGAGAAATCCAGGTAAGGGTAAGGCATAGAGTGAGGCTGAACAGTTAATGAAGGCAGGGTGCATGCCCTTTTTGCATGGCCAAAGGTGCATCCATGAGGTTTTTTTTTTTTTTTTTTTTTTTTTTTTTGGGTGTTTGCATCTGGTATACATGCCGTCATTTTCATATGGCAGTACTTGCATGGGTTACGTTTTTTCTTCGCAAACACACGGGCAAGCACACTGAACAGCAGACAGAATCAGCAGCATGGCCGTCTTTGCCCCCCTCCTCTTTGCGATGCCCGCTCTGCAAGTGGGACATCTTGAAATTCAATCGTGAGATGTGTCAGAACTTGATGCCGAGATGTCTCGATTTGAAAACTAATCCTTAAGTTATGCGGTGCTCTCTTATCTCTACCCTCTCATTCACACAGGCAGCAGAGTCCTAGCGTATGGATGGAGAGGCAGCAGGCGCTGTTGATAGCAAAAAGGGCAATGAAGAGGAAGCAGTGGCAAATTGCAATGAAGTTGACTCACGGGTCGCCTCTATCCGTGACCGTGTGTATCACGAGTCGCCTCAATCATGTCTGCAAGCAAGGCGGCTCAGACTCAGTTCGGTTGATTTGTGTTGGTGTCCTCTCATCTCTACCCTCTCGTTCACACAGGCAGCTGAGGCTGAGCGCATGGAGAGGCAGCAGGCAATCATGTCTGCGAGAGATGCTCAGGCTCAGTTGTAGATGGCAATGGGTTTGTCTCATGCCTTGCGTCGCCTGCTTCTGTGACTCTACTTGTCTACTCTCATTCACACAGGCAGCTGAGGCTGAGCGCATGGAGAGGCAGCAGGCAATCATGTCTGCAAGGGCGGCACAGACTCAGAGACATGTGGCCCGGCGATCAGTCATCCATGCCACGCCTCACGCGCCTGGTAAGTTGCCTTTGAGTTGGGTGGTTACCACTTGACCACACTCGCTGTCAACTGTAAGGCAGCAGGCATCCATGTCTGCAAAGGCGGCTCTGACTCAAAGGCACGATCCCGACGATCGGTCATCCATGCCACGCCTCACGCGCCCGGTAAGTCACTGGCCTATTGGTTGGGTGATTGCTGTTTCCGTGGTCAACAGTAAGGCAAGCAGGCATCCATGTCCGCGAGGGCGGCTTAGACTCAAGGCATGTGGCCCGGCGATCGGTCATGCGTGCCATGCCCCATGCACCTGGTAAGCTGCATGCCCTTTGGTTGGGTATTCTTTATATTTCTGGTCAATTGTTAGGCGAGCAGGCAGTGAGGCCCGTAAGGGCGGCTCAGACTCAGTGAGATATGTGGCCCGGCGGTCAATCGTCCATGCCACGCCCCATGCACCTGGTAAGTTTTGAGTCGACTCAAAAGTCAAATCGTCCATGCCACGCCCCCATGCGCCTGGTAAGCTATTTTTGAGGCGCCTAAAAAATCCCCGGCGATTAATCGTCCATGCTACACCCCATGCGCCTGGTAAGCTATTTTTGAGGCGCCTCGAAAATCCCCGGCGATTAATCGTCCATGCGACGCCCCATGCGCCTGGTAAGCTGCGCGCACTTTTGTTGGGTAATTGCTGTTTTCGTGGTTAAGTGTAAAGCAATCAACTAAACGAATGATCTCGTGGTCTTCCTTTTCTCTCTCTTTCCTTTCAAGTTAAACCATCCACCAGGCAAGGGCATGACCACAGCGTGGGACGCGCTAGGCCGTGCTGTGATTATCTTATGTTCTTCTTTTCACTCTCAATTTTGTCCTTTCAACCATCCACCAGGCAAGGGCATGACCACAGCGTGGGATGGGCTAGGCCGATCCGTACCGCATACCCCTCCTGTCTTGATTCTCAAGTCCCCCCCTGCTGCTAAAGCTGCAACCAAGGAAGCTACTGCTGCTCCTTCAGGTCTTAGCTCCATTCATGCTCTTCCTGCTTCTGGTGCTGCTAGTTCTGCCGGTGGTGCTGGTTCTGCCAGTGGTGGTGGTGGTGTGGGTGCGGCTGCAGTTGGAGACAAGAGGAAGGTGGAGGAGTTGGAGGATGGGGCGGGCGGTGGGCTGAGAGGGTTGCTGGCGTATGGTTCTGATGACAGTGATGAGGAGGATGCAAGGGAGGTGGAGGAATCAAGGGAGGAAAATGCAAGGGATGAGAGGTTAAGAAATGCTGATACTGCTGCTGGTGCAACTGATGCTGATGCTGGTGCTGGTGCTGGTGCGGATGCTCCTGGTGGTGCTGCTGATGCTGATGCCGCTGGTAGTGCTGGTGGTGCTGCTGCTGGCGCTGCTGCTGCTAACGGTGATACTGCTGGTACTAGTTCTGTTGGTGGTGGGGATTGTGTAGGTGCTGCTACTGGTGCTGATTCTGCTACTGGTGTTGCTGCTGCGGCTGGTACTAGTAGTGTCACTGCTGGTGCTGCCATTACTGGTGATTGTCACTCTGGTAGTGCTTCTGCTGCACAGAGGAGAGCTGCTGATGTTGCAGCTCCTGTCGCTGCTGCTGCTGATGATGATTCTGCTGCGGCTGGTACTAGTAGTGTCACTGCTGGTGCTGCCATTACTGGTGATTGTCACTCTGGTAGTGCTTCTGCTGCACAGAGGAGAGCTGTCGATTTTGCTGCTTCTGCAGCAGCTGGTGGTGCTGGTGATGCTGGTGACTCTGCTAATGCTGCTGCTGTTGTTGATGGTTATGCTGATGCTGGTGGCAATAGATTGCAATGATCCTGGCTTGGTGTTCCTGTTCCTTCCGGATTCTGTATTAATGAAGAGGAAAAGCAGGCTTACCAGTGATTGCAATAATGTCAGTATAATGGAAAATGAGAGAGTGGTGGTTTGGGGAGTAACTACCGTCACCCCCCGGATATAAGCGCCACCCTAGGATAAGCGCCTGGCGCTTCTAATTGGCATATGGCGCTTATATCCCCTCCTCGATTATAAGCGCATACCCTAGAGTCGTACGGATTATAGCCGCATACCTGTACCTTACACATTATAACCGCCACTTTTTTAAATATATTTTTTCTACAAGCTTCACTAACCACATTAACAACATATATTTTCATCTAATTAATTACAAAGTCAGTTTATCTACAGTTTTTTCTAATTACAGTTCTAAATCTACCTACGATTCTCACAGGCTACAACAATTTCTAGATCTACGTAATCTAGTCATCAGCTGCGGTAGGATCATCCGGGTCGGCCTCACAGTCCTGAGAAAATGTGAACGAGAATGAATGACTATGAAATGAAGTGAGTACAAATATGAAACCCTAATTGTGTTGTACCCCCTATGGGATACCCCACTATAGCCTACAGAAACAAGTAAGCTATATGTTCTGACACACCCCCATAGGCAAAGTGGGGGAGAACAAGGGGTCACAAGACCAGTCAAGCAAAGCAAAGCAAAGCTCAGGGTGGATCACAAAGTCACCACGCATTCCGAGCACAAGTTCAAAGGCCAGAAGGCCAGTTCACATGCAAGATCATATATGGAGATATACAAGAGTCAAGCAAGCAAGAGCAAGAGTATATATAGGCGAAGGTACAAGCAAGGTCAAGAGGAGAGCAAGTGAGGCAAGACAGGCACAAGACCTAACTGCGTGCAACAACGCTGATGATCACAAGGCGCAAGTGCCTTGGTGAAGACATCAGCAGTGTTGGCCTCAGAGGCCACGTACGCAAGTCGCAACTGTCCACGCTGCTGTAGCTCACGAGCAAGAAAGTAGCGGAGAGCAATGTGCTTCGTTCTGTGCTCCAGTCGCTGCTCTCGACACAAGGCCAGCATGGCCTTGTTGTCTACGTACAAGACTGGAGGAGAACGAGGCTGCTCTCCAAGGTCGGTCAGCAGGTAGGTGAGCCAGCGTAACTCCTGTGCAGCCATAGCCCCAGCGTAGATCTCAGCCTCACAACTGGAGCCGAGAACAGAAGACGAGCGGGTAGCCCGCCACGAGACAGAGCCGGAACCAAGGCTGAAGGTGTAACCCTGTGACGACCGCTGCGTAGCCTGGTCGTCAGCCCAAGAAGCGTCTGCGTGCCCAGTGAGGACCACTGGACTGCGCCCTCCAAGCACTAGCCCCATGCCCGACGTACTGCACAAGTAGCGCAACACCCTCTTCGCTGCAGCCATGTGCTCTGGTCGGTGTCTCCTAGGAGCAACAAAGCGTGCGAGAATGCTAAGAGGGTATGCGAGGTCAGGTCGTGTGCAACTCATCAGGTACATGAGGCAGCCAACAAGCTCTGCAAACGGGCCACTCGACTCTACGGACTCATCCGAAGGCAGAGCTGAGAGCGAGTGGCGAGTAGGCAGAGGAGTGGCCTGAGGCGAGGAGTACGTGAAGCCGAAGCGCTGAAGGACCTGCTGCACCATGTGTGACTGAGTCAGGGTAATGGTGCGGCGTGCTCTGTCCCGGGTGATCTGCAAGCCAAGGTAGCTGCGCAGTTCACCCAGGTCAGTGCACGTGTGTCTCTTCTGCAGCTCAGACTTCACGTAGGCGAGTCCAGCAGTGTCAGCTGTGGCAAAGACCAAGTCGTCGACGTACACGAGGATGTAGAACGGCGGCAGAGAGGTGTCGGTGCGCAGAAACAGCGACGGGTCGGCAGTAGAAGGAGCAAACCCAAGTGCCGCGAGCGTAGTCCTCAGTGTGTCGTGCCACTCACGTGGCGCCTGGCGGAGACCGTAGACTGGACGCCGAAGACTCCACTGGGTGCCAGGAGGGAAAGACCCAGTGAAGCCAGGTGGGCGACGCAGCCAGATCTCCTCGTGCAGGCTGCCCTGCAAGAAAGCTGTGCTGAAGTCGAGAGAGTGCAGCTCGTAGTCACGGTGAGCAGCAACGTGCAGCAGAACCCAGGCGTCGGTCAGGCGGCCAAAGCAGCGGCGGGCTGTGTGGGCGCCTCCACACCTCTCCCCTGCACGGTCACCGGTGCGAAGAACGTAGGGGCAGGGACCAAGCGCACCACCACGCTGACGCTGCAAGTACCACTCACGGAGCTGCTGAGGGCCGGGGACGGTGCGAGAGCGCTGCTGCTGCTGTGGCTGCTGCTGCGGCTGCTGCTGCTGCTGCTGCTGGCGCTGACCACCCCCAGAGCTGCTCCGCTGGGACGAGCCACTCCGACCCCCGCCACCACCGCCACCCCCGCCTCCACCGCCACCCCCGTCTCCACCGCCACCTCCCCCACCAGGACCGTCGCTCCCACCGCTCCCACCGCCTCCTCCGCTACCACCTCCGCCGCCACCTCCGCCTCCACCGCCGCCACCAGTACCTCCACTCCCGCCACCACCTCCACCGCCACCCCCACTCCCCCCGCCACCCCCACCGCCTCCTCCACCGCCCCCTCTAGCTCCACCCGCTCCCTTGCCCCCCTTGCCCTTGCCAGAGCGGCGTCTGCCACTGGGGGCAGACGCCGCGCCGACCGACTCAAAACCAGTGAGATCGGCCGCAGCGGCAGAGGCGACAGAGGGCAGCAAGGGGGAAGGACCACACCCCTCAAAGATGGGGGTGCGAGGGTCACCCCGAGAGGCCCCTACAGCGACAATACTCTTCTCAGCCGCTAGCAGGGACTCCTCAAGGAGGTCGACAGTGAGAGTGGTGGGACAGACAGAGAGAAACTGGTCCCTAACGACACGAAGGGACTCAGGGAGACGGGTGACGAGAAAGTAGAGAGTGATGTACATGGGAGGAGGGTTCGCAGCGCGGAACTCAGCAGGAAGGGCAGCGCGGTAGCGGGTGTCACTAGCACGGAGGTGGGTAACGAGGTCAGCGACAGTGGGAAAGGAAGCGAGGTCAGGGAAGAGAAACGGTAGCATGAGGCGGCTAAGGGTAGCGGAGGAAGGGGAGGAGTAGCGTGCAACTACAGCGTCGTACAAGGCCTGAGCGGTCTTGCACTGACTAAAGTGGGCACGCTCAGAGGAAGGGAGGTGGCGACGCACAGCAAGGCGTGCAGCAGCATCGCGGGTCGCCCACTTGGAGCGAACGGCAGAGTCAGCATCAGCAGGTGGGGCAGGGACAGCGCCAGAGACAAAGTCAAAGAGAGAGACCTCATCTATCGCATCACACAGTAAGTACAGCTGCAGGTCTTCAATCCAGACGGCAAAGTCAATGGCCCTCCCCTCAGCGTCAAAAGTAAGAACATTGGGGGTGGCCATGGCAGCAGCTGAAAGTCTCACCGGGCTGGGAGAGTCGGGTAGGTCAGCAGCAGAGGAACACAGCTCAGGAACAGCAGCATAGCTCCTCAGGCGGCTCGGGCGGCTCGGGCGGCTCGGGCGGCTCGGGCGGCTCGGGCGGCTCGGGCGGCTCGGGCGGCTCCGGCGGCTCGGGCGGCTCGGGCGGCTCGGGCGGCTCGGGCGGCTCGGGCGGCTCGCGCGGCTCGGGTGGCGTAGGGGCTCACGGGCGGCGCGGGCTGCTGGGGCTGCTCACGTGCAGCACGGTGGGCTGCAGCAGGGGCCGCGGGGAGGGCTGTAGCGGGGCCGACGGCGGGCCGACGGCGGGCTGTAGCGGGGCCGGGGCGGGCTGTAGCTGGGCCGGCGGCGGGCTGTAGCAGGGGCCGGTGGCGGGCTGTAGCGGGGCCGGCGGCGGGCTGTAGCAGGGCCGGCGGCGGGCTGTAGCTGGGCCGGCGGCGGGCTGAAGCTGGGCCGGCGGCGGGCTGTAGCAGGGGCCGGCGCGGGCTGTAGCAGGGGCCGGTGCGGGCTGTAGCGGGGCCAGTGGCGGGGTGTAGCGAGGCCAGTGGCGGGCTGTAGCGGGGCCGACAGCAGCTGAAGCGGGGCCGGCGTAGGGCCGTGGCGGGGCCGACGAGGTCTGGGCGGGGCCGACGAGGGGCCGAAGTGGGGCCTAGGCGGGCCGGCGGGGCCTAAGCGGGGCCAACGCGGGGCCGACGGGGCCTAAGCGGGGCCGACGCGGGGCCAAAGCGGGCCGAAGCGGGGCCGACGGGCCTAAGCGGGGCGACGCGGGGCCGACGCGGGGCCGAAGCGGGGCCGACGGGCCTAAGCGGGGCGACGAGGGGCCGACGCGGGGCCGAAGCGGGGCCGACGGGCCTAAGCGGGGCTACGCGGGGCCGACGTGGGGCCTAAGCGGGGCCGACGAGGGGCCTAAGCGGGAGCACGACGAGGAGGGCGACACGGAGGGTCGCTAAGAAAATGCGCGCCTCGGGGCGCGCTTCGGTGGGCCCTAGGAACAGGCCCTAAGAAGGGACCTGCTCTGATTCCATGAGAAAATGTGAACGAGAATGAATGACTATGAAATGAAGTGAGTACAAATATGAAACCCTAATTGTGTTGTACCCCCTATGGGATACCCCACTATAGCCTACAGAAACAAGTAAGCTATATGTTCTGATAAGTCCGACTCTGGTTCTTCTACGTTGTTGCAGAAAAAGCCATCTGCTGCAATGTCGTCGTCGATGTCTATTTCGTCGCCCTCAAGCTCGTCGCGCCTGTGTTGCAGGCAGATCTTGTCCTGGGACCCATCCAGGGCATTACTAATGCCACAGGTGAGGAAAGCCCGTTGAATCAAGTCCCTGGGCACGGCCTTCCAAGCCGCTGATATCCACTTGAGCGTTAGCTCGGGTGGTGGCTTCTTGATGTTGCCTGCCATAAAATTTAAACAATCAAAAGTCAGCCACCGCTACAAACTGATGAAGCAGCACACGCATGGCCTGCCTCTCTCACCTTTCTTTGTCAAGGTGTCGACCCCCTCGCTCTCGAACCACTCCTGGTAGAGCTGGCGAACGGATGCCTTGAAGGAGCGATTCACCGCGACGTCCAGAGGTTGAATCTCCGAGGTGCAGCCAGCTGGGAT